TGTGTCTTTCATTTCTTAGCTACTAACTTTTTTTTTAGATTCTTTGTTTTCCAAAAAAGAAAAAAAACAGGTGTGAAGGTTTTCATCGCAGAAGAAAGGATGTGAGGAAGAAGAAGATGGAGCAACCAACCAGAGCACCTGCTCTGCTGGTTGCTCCAGACGAAGAAAAGACGAGGGAGCATCCAGCTCTGTTCCGGAGCACATGCTCCGCCAGGGTGCTCTACATGTGACCAGGTAAAGTTTCTTGGGCACTTCTCTAGCTTATTTTCACACCAGGGATGGTGTGAAGTAAGTCCGAGGGAGGGTCGTGTCTTTTGTACTTCTTTCTTTTGCTTTCTTTCTTTTAGTACTTTCTTTGAGTCAGTTTTTAGTTTGTTTCTCTGAGTCATTTTGTTTCTTTGAGTCAGTTTGTTATATGAGTCAAGTCAAACCTTGTGGGAAGTAGGACCAAATATGTGATGAGTTTAGACCATTTGTGAATTTTGACCATTTTCTTTTTAGTGACCATTGCTGCAGAATCAGTCTAGATCCGACCAATAGAAAATCCAAGGGCTGACCAGCGGACTAGAGGCATATATATTTCTGACAAAATCCATTGACCTGAGCTAATTTCTGAGCTCTTCTTTTTACCTCATCGATGTGATCAGTGTTCACAGAGCTTGATTCCTCATTCATACCTGACAAACAAGGACCTGTGTGATGAAAAAAATTAGTACTCCTCTCCCTTATTCTAAGCGTTAACTAAAGCTAAAAAGATGAGATGATTTTCTTTCATTGTAAAGGGGTAGGAAAATTTCATGTGACCTCAATATTTTACTTTAGAGAAAAATGATCACACAAGTATTGGAAGTAATGGGTAGGAAAGTTTCCCGTGACCCCACTATTCACCTACAACATTGATTATTATTTTTTTTAAAATGCCTGCAAATGAATAAGTCCGGGGGAGAGGAAGAGTACCTTTGTGTATTATGGTCAGTTTGTCATGGTATAGTATGGGAATATGTCTAGAAGGTCTTGGGCATTGGTTTCATCAGTGAGACCCAGCGATGATGGGATATGGATAATGTCGTGAAATTATGGATCTAATCTGGAAAGCTGCAATGTCTACGGAGAAGTACATGGAAGTTCGATTTGGATAGATGTTGCAACAGGTCGTCGGCATGTTGTGGTCAAATTTACGGGTTTTTGAGTTTTTGCGAATTCCCACCATTGTCTATTCAATTTTTCTGGAACTAGATTTTAGTTTGTTTGAGGACAAACAAAGATCCAAGTCTGGGGGAGTTGATAAGTGGAGATTTTGACTCATTCTAACCTGTGTTTACAGATCATTTTAGGAGTCTTTGGAGTCTTTTTCAGGTTGTTTCAGGTATCTAGGGAGCTTTAAGCGAGGATTGGTGCAGCTGGAGCCTTTGGTGCAAAAAGGAGTTGAAGCTGAGAAAAGAGGCCAATTTACACGCAGTTGGACCATTTTTCGTTGGGAAACCTGCTCCCGACTAAGCCCTTTCGTGGAGCACCTGCTCCAACCGTCTGGAGAAAAATAAGGAAAACGATTTTTACCTAATCTTGGGAAACATGAAGCGAATAAAAGACCAGAGCCATCTCAAAAAGAGAATCACATTTTTACACAGAATACTTACGCTTCTTTTTACAATTTTCTAGACTTTAGAGCTTGTAAGATTTGGGAGAAGAATTCCTACAACACTTGAGAAGAATTCTGAACCCTCATCTATTATCTTTTATTCATGAATTCCTTTTCATCTTTTGCTGTGTCTCTTTTCTCTATGTCTGAGTAGATCTCTTAGCTAGATTAAGGTATTCAAGGGATTTTCATGATTTAGTGATTGAATGCACATAGGGTTTAATTATATTGTCTTCACCATAGTTGTCCTTAATGCCTAGGTTAAATTGATCACTCAATCTGCGATTTTAGGTTAATCTATTCATCAAAAGTGTAATAGGTTGCTAGAATAAACTTTGGTGAGCGATTCGTCCTTAACCAACGACAGTTGATGTTAAAACAAATTGTGAACAGATCAAACCTGCTTGTTAATGCTTGTCTGCGATTTTCTAGGTTCAAACGACAGTTTAGAATTTAGGTTGTTAGACAAAGTTATCGGTGCCACGACAGTGGGTCGATATGTATTGATGTTTGAGTTCGAGACTTGCATTTAAACCGTGCCCTGAATAATCATTCAATTTCTATCTCTGAAAGTTCTGCAAATTGCCTTAGTCTAGTGTTTTGTTTCATTGAATTCTAAATCATTTATTTCATTTTCTCGTGTGTTACGTTACAACTCCAACAATCATTTTCGTTTTAGCTTTGTTTCAACCCTCGTAGAGTCATAGTGCAACACTGGTCTTCTGGAATCCAAATTATTTATATTACAATTACAAGCTGTTTTATTGCAGTAGAAACTAGGAAATAATTCCCAGTGTATCACTGTCCATCCGAAAGCTTTCCGTGGAGCCATTACCAATTTCATAACTGATAAGATGCTTTGCTAGAGGTCTTAAGGAAAATAAGAGTTTTCAGATCCATAAGTGATTGCATCTTTCCTCTTCCAGACAAAAGTTCTTGCGTTTGAGCCAATGATCTTTCAGCCAAGTTATCCGTAGTGAGATATTGTTGGAGAAAAGTAGCCATACCAGCCTCAAGTTTAGAGTTTGATTCCAGATCTGAAAATTCTTGAGACCCAATCCACCCTTTTTATTTTCGAAGACACACATCACTCCAACTGACCTTTGCCAAAGGTCTTTTGGATATGTCTCCAGACCAAAGAAAACTCTTAATTTCTCAATCTCCATTAAGCAACGTTTAGTCAAGGCCAAAGCATATAGCCAATAATTTACGAGGCTGTAAATAACCGAGTTAATCAACTGAAGACGGCCAGTGAATGACAAACTTTTAACTGTCCAACTGTTGAATTTCTCTAGGCGCAGTCTTCTACTAAGGAGAGGGATCCCAAGATATCTAATAGGAAATGAACTACAATGGAAGCCAAAACTGTCAAGTATACTAGCTTCGTCCAGGGTCATTCCTGCATGGAATAGAGCAGACTTTTCCTTGTTCAATCCCAAGCCTGAGAGCTTTTCAAATGTATCCAGAGTAGCAGCAATACCTTAAAGTTAGAGATCTTCCGGTTCCTTGCTAATGGATGATACCCGATGGTTCCTTCTTCAAATATAGATGATAAGAGGCATGAGAATGTCTCCATCACCATCACAAACAAGGGAGGAGAGAGTGGATCTTCTTGCCATAAGCCTCTCCTTCTTTGGAAATATCCACAAAGCTCCTCATTCACATTAACTGAAAACGAAGTGGTAGTAATGCATTTCTCAATCCAGTTTATAAACTGACTTGGAAATTCAGCTGCCTTAAAGAATTGTAGTACGAATTTCCAGCTGACTGAGTCAAAATCTTTCTGTATATCCACCTTTAGAAGGCCCCTAGATAACATGTTCTTTGTATTAAATCCCTGCACAAGTCCGGTAGCAAGCAAAACATTATCCACAAAAATCTCCATTTTTTCTAAAGCAGATCGAGATGGAGAGATCATACTTGGCAAGAGAATTTGGAGTCTCCTAGCCAGAATCTTGGAGATGATTTTGTAAATGGCATTACAACAAAATACCTGCTCTGAAATCAGCCAGCTTGTCAGCTCCTTGTTTCTTTGTGAAGAGAGTGATTCCACTGCCTCAAGATCTGCCCAGAAGTGAAAATTTATTGCATAGCAGCTGTTAGGTCAGGACCTGCATGTTATTTCCCAAGTTTTCCTGAAGATTTATCCCGTAAAACCATCTGGTCCAGGAGACTTTTTAGAGGGAAGGGTAAATGTTTCTCTTTTAACATCCTCTTGAGAAACAGGGGCAAGTAACATATCTTTAGCAGCACAAGTACAGAAGAAGGGAGTTAACATGCTAATCAAGTCCTTATCAGCATCCGAGAGAGTTGGAGAATCTCCTCCGAAAAGCTCTGAGAAAAAAATCCACACAGTGGGATTTAACCTCGGGAAGGTCCTCAAGCCGCTGTCCTAAATTATGAACCAAGTAGTGAATTTGTTTAACAGATCTTCTAGCTGCTATCACCCGATAGAAGAAAGTTATGTTACTGTCCCCACTATCTATCCATTGCACTCTAGCTTTCTGATGGATAAATCTCTCCTCTGCCAAAGCCAGTTTTAGCCACGTTAAACGAGCTTGCTTCTCTAAGCTTGCGTTGTGGGAAAAGGATTAGATAGAAAGGAGTTCTGACAAGCAACCAGCACCTCGAGGACTTCCTTTATTTGCATTTCCAGACCCGAAAAATGTCTCTTGTTGATGTCTTTAAATTTAATAATCTGTTTCAAAATTTTTAGCTTCTTCGACATAATGAACATGGCTATTCCGTAGAAATGAGTATTCTTCCCTTGGGAGAAAGTCTTCATGATGGAAGGAAGTGAGAAACTTTAAAAGCTTTCTTTGATCTCTGGGTGGTACCAAGCACAATGGAACTAAGACAATGATCTGAGACTCCCATATCACCAAAGAATCCATAGGATAACGGATTGGGTTTGCTTCTTGTTTATTCCACCAGATGAAAATGTTCCCTCTAAAGGTAAGATGAGAAAGACCAGCAGTTCTAGTTCACTCTCTAAAATCATCCATGCCTCTTGAAATTCTCGTTCCACCCTGCGAATGTTCAAAGGGATTGAGAGATTGGTTAAAGTCCCCTAAAGCTGCCCATGGCTTTGAGGAGAGTATCAGATCACTTCATAGTTCCTGCAAAATTCCAACCCGAAATTTGAACACAGAAAAGCTTTATTCATTGAGTTTCTAGGAAGAAAAAGAAACTGACGACAACAGAGAAAGAGGTGTATCATCCTTCCCTTTAGATGTTTTCTCCAACTGCATAAATCATCTAACAATATCAGCGGGAATATCAGCCAACAGGTCAGTGTTTGCTCGTTGAACGTGGTCGAATAAAAACACTTTCTTGTAAATTGTTTGTAAATTGTCCATTAATTTTTAGTTGTTAAAAATATATTAACGTAAAATCCACGGGAAGATAAGATTCGAATTAGTTGACCAAAAAAAATCCTATCTAAGAAAGAAAAGGATAAAGTTGTAAATTTTTATATCTCCGGCGACGATGAAGTGGTCGCTAATCGCCGTTGTGGCCGCTTTTACGATCGTCTCCGCCGGAACACAATCCCATCTCCTCCGTGGATCTCCGGTCAATTCTCTATGCGCTGACCTCATTCATCCGGCTGGGTACTCCTGCACCGAAGACACTGTAATCTCAATAATTAACATTCTCTCATCTGTCTCTCCGAAATATCATTGAATCAGTCACAAGAAAAAAAAAAATCTAGTCTTTATGGAAATTTACAAATTCATCCGAACTTGAAGCCTTGATTTTTACTCATTTTTTTAGACCCATATCAAGACTCTAATTAAAATCTCTCATTTTTCTTCTTCTTTTGTTTATAGATTCAAACGAAAGATGGGTACATACTAGCTCTTCAACGTGTGGCTTCTCGTGCTCAAAATCTAACACTTCAATATGGTCCACCTGTTCTGCTTCAGCACGGACTATTTATGGTAAAACTGGTTAATAAATTTAACTTGAAGAAGGCGAAACTGCTAAAAATTTTCTCTTGTTGTGTCAGGCTGGTGATGTCTGGTTCTTGGATTCCCCAAAAGAGTCACTAGGTTTCATTCTTGCTGATCATGGTTTTGATGTTTGGGTCGGAAATGTTCGTGGCACACGATATAGTTATGGACATATAACTTTGTCTGAAACTGATAAGGTATGCAAGAACTTCTCTTGTGAGTTATGGACGTTTATTTGTTCTTCTCTATGTAAATGTCCAAATTTGTTTTGGTTCAACATCACGTTTGTATATATTTTTCTCTGCTTTCATTTCGTCGATATAGACTATAGAGGAATAGTTTAAGAATGTGTCTATTGTTCCTTTAGCAATGAAGAGAGTGTTCCTTTTCTGAGAAAACTAATGCTTTTCTGTATTACATGCAGGAATTTTGGGACTGGAGTTGGCAAGATTTGGCTATGTATGACTTGGCAGAAATGGTTCAGTATCTATACTCAGTTACAAACTCCAAAATTTTCCTTGTTGGGCATTCTCAGGTCATCATCAATTTCTGGAATCGTAAGGTTGCCCCTTTTGCTGATTCTTTGAAAAGCTAACTTATTTAGTTTTTTGGACAGGGGACTATCATGTCTTTTGCTGCTCTTACTCAGCCACATGTTGCGGAAATGGTCGAAGCAGCTGCGTTGCTTTGTCCAATATCGTTTTTGGATCATGTCACAGCTCCACTTGTAGAAAGAATGGTTTTTATGCATCTTGATCAGGTATTCTTGGCTCTCGAATATCATAAAGACCAAATTCAGAGAATAAATTTAACAGAGTTGGTCGATCCTCTTTACAGATGGTTGTTGCTCTTGGGCTGCATCAAATAAACTTTAGAAGGTTGTGACTTCTGTCTCATTCTAGTGTTTCGTGTGTGTTGATATATTGCGACCTTTCTTTATTCTAACATCTTGTAGATTTTTTCTGTGTTTTCAGTGATATGTTAGTTAAACTTGTTGACTCGTTATGTGAAGGGCATATGGATTGCAGTGATTTCCTCACATCGATAACAGGTTTTTCTTCTTTTTCTCACTAATATCCCTGTAGTGATCCTTTGACAAGATATTCTGTTTTGTATATTGGTTCCATAGAACAATGTTTTATAAGTATCCGAAAGTTTGTTTATGGAACAGAAAAAACAAAAGGTCCTGTGATACTTTATGTGTATGATTTTCTGCCTTTCTATTCATTCTTTTGAAATGGTATCAACGAATGGCAGGGAAGAATTGTTGTTTCAATGCCTCGAGGATCGAATACTATCTAGATTACGAGCCTCACCCATCATCTGTCAAGAACTTGCGCCATCTTTTCCAAAGTAAGATCTCTTTTACATGTTCATTTTCGTAGTTTTCTGTGTGTTCCATAACCTTTACTTACTCTTCCACTACATTTGATTATCAATTACTGCAGTGATTCGGAAGGGGACCTTTGCGCAGTATGACTATGGTTTGCTGAAAAACCTATTAATTTATGGGTTATCGAAACCTCCGGAATTCAAACTCAGCCTCATTCCTGCATCATTGCCGATGTGGATGGGGTATGGTGGGAATGATGGCTTAGCAGACGTGACAGATGTGGAACGTACGCTCGCGAAATTACCTTCGAGGCCGGAGTTGCTATATCTTGAGAATTATGGTCACATTGACTTTGTGCTTAGCACAAGTGCCAGAGAAGATGTCTATAAGCACATGATTCAGTTTTTTGAGGCAAAGAGAAAGTATAGTAGTTAAATATATTCTCTACTTTGCACATATTATTCATTGTCCACAAAATATGTATCTGATTGTAAGTATTTTCCTTCATGAACCTTTGTATGTTGCCTTAAGTAATTGAAATATGTTGAGTTTGTGCCTAAGACTTGAAAGAAACCAACATTCCATCTCCAACAAGTAACATATAAATTACCATGAAGTGGAACAAAAATAAAGGCACACAAGGGAGATGCCAAAACAGAGCACTTGCTAAATGGGGTCAAATTTAGAGAAATGCCACTGGTTCTATTAAGTAGTCTTTGAAGTTGTACCAGAAACTAGAGCATTAAGATGATCTGTCATGGGGGGGAAAAAAAAAATCATACTCTTCTTCTTCTGCTTCTTCTTCTTGTTCCTTACTTGATGATGTATGTGCAGTGCAGAGCCCTTGGGATTCAACTGGTGCAGCTTTTTTTTAAAAAAAAATTTATAATCTTTGGCTGAAGTACATGTTCATGAAATATCTTGACGGGTTGAATCCGCTTAAGATCACTGCAAAATTAGAGTAACAAACTTAAGATGATGTCTACGCTTTTTTTCCGGAAAAGGGATCTGCGAAACCAATGAATGATTTGAGCTTACAAATAGGGGAGAGGACAATCACGATCCCGATTGGGTAGAGGAAGAATGTTGTTCGTTCTAAAAACGGAAGGACTGTATGGGATTCACAACAAAGAATGCTGTTAGCTCAAAAGGTATACAGATACTGTGAGAGAAGGAGTTTATGAGACTTACCGTCATATCCTAGGAAGTTAAGATAATGGTAGTACGAAGCCCCGACCATGAAAAGCAGATTCGATAGCAGTAAAGGAATAAATCCGTGCGTTATCAGGAGTGGTGATAAGAAATAATGTACGACTGCAGCAACACAGGAAGAAACTATAAGTTTATAAATCTCTTTTTTGTAAAGTTCCTGGTTTGAGAAGTGAGTAATGTGATGGAAGATGGAATTACCGTAGAGTAGCACAAACATTGGAAAGAACGAGTTGCAGTGAACATCAAATGTATACAGCCTACAGAGAATACAAATAATAGGCAAGTCATGAACAAGTTCAGATGGATAGAGAGAAACTATGATATGGAATATGTATACGAACAACAGTAGAGGGGACTCAAGTTAGATTTAGTCCATAAACTTGCCATTCAACGCGTTGTTCCACCACATGACTATTAGGAGCCTCCTCGCGAAGGTAAGAGTTCGTCAGAAACCTGGTAATCCATATAACAAGTCAGAGAGACGGTGTAATTTTGGTATACGAAACAACTCAAATTGCAGTGAAATTACATAGAAGAAAACAATAGAGAAGACTCATGTTCATGCATTACTAATTTTTACAAACTAGCAACGTTCGTAAATCTCAAGCGTGTTTGTCTCGTACTATATAATGAGCAAAAAAGTAGTAATAAGATCAAAGAAGCAGACCCCGTAGAAATACACGAGCAACAGACATGGATGCAAAGATAACATAAAAGTAGTGTAAGAGTTCGCGCCAACAAATATCGATGTCTATGCACTGAGAGAAATTACTTACCAACAGCATGTAGCTATAACTGCTCCGGTGATGAAGAAATGGGAGAGGAAAACTGATACAACTACGAAGACAGCGTGAGAGCCACTATGGTCATACCTGAAGCAGAGACAATAGATTACGATCAACAAAAAAAACAGAACGGAAAATCGTTCTCCAAGGCAATAGTTCTATATCAAAATACTTACGTGGCACAGTAGGCTAAAGTTGCAACAACAAGAAGCAAGCTACAGATCACGATAAAAGCAGGGTCATCACGTGCCCATTGGTTTTTAGTTTCTGAGAGAAAGAAAGAGTAAGAGAAATTAAAGCAAATGCACTTCAATGTACAGGCCATACCAAAGTTTTAGTTTATTCTTAACAGGCACAAGCATTATATATAGAATATATAGAGCAGGAGGAGCCAATAAATAAAGATGGCACACGAGAAAATCATGCTTCTCCCGCACGTTATATATTCAACTTATGATTAAATAAATCCACGACCACACGTTCATTGTAAAATTAGATGGCTCAAGGTACATTCAGCAACAGAAGGGTATATCATATAAAAGCAATAATTAAAAAGTTGATTGCAGTAGCATAATAAGGGCTCGCAAATGAAAGTTCAGCTTACGTTTGTGATACTTGGTGTGTTGATAGCTGATACCGTAGCGCCCACATGCAAACATACAAAAAGGTACAAGAATAAGGAGTTAAGAACTAGAAATTAACTCACCATGTAGTATCTTAACTAAAAAATCCCAACTTGTTGGATTCGACTAGCCTATTAATCTTCTAAAAAAACATATAAGCATTACACAGATTTAACTCTCTTCAATGTCTTATTGCAAGGGTGAAGTGAAACCATCTCAAACTCTATTCACCTATAATCTTAAGTGTTTAAACATTAATTCCATTCTACTCAGCTCTGTAGTAAACTCTATTCACCTAGAAGTCTAGAACCTTACAGTTCAAAGTGGCATAGAGAAAGGAACCTTTAAGATAGTAATTGAAAAAAATCAAAGACTTACACAACTTTCGGAGATGTACAAAGGTTAAGCATTTGCCAGAAAGTATATTCAACATCCATTTGCTGCCACTGCAATGAACAAAAGACGATCACAAAACGAGAAAGGTTTTTGACAATGCGAATATGGCCCAAAAGTCAAACTCCAACATGTTGTAGTAATATGCATCATACTGTCTAATCACATATACAATTTGGCTAAGATTATTCACATTCTCTCCAAAATATCTTTGAACAATTATAATTGCATCATTGCTTACGAATTCCGAACCTACATGACATCAATAACATTGAGCTACCTCCAACATCAGCATCACTCATAAGAACAAAATGTTACAGAATTTTCAAAAATCTCTTGTTTAATTATCAGATCATCACACTCCAACAAACTTTCCAGCAAGTGATCTTCTACCACTCCATCAGGAATTGCTGAACCTAGAGAGTGACAAGGATGCACAGTGCGGAGCTAGAATTTTCAAGAATCTATGAAGAGACGCAGATTGATTCAGCTAAATCCGAGGTTCTCGATTCGAGTTCTCATATAATTTGAATATAAGAAATGACGAATCTGTGTATATAACAACATTAGATGACAAAAATCGACCAAAATCTGATATCAAATCGACGATAAAACTTAAGATGTTGTGAGAAAGAGAACCTTGACGATACGACGAAAATACTGAAGGAACATTGGGTTAGCTCGGGATGAAGAAGATGAAGAGCGAGATCTGGAAGTTGTTGGCAACATCTTCTCCTCCCTTGTTCCTGATCCGGATGATTCCTATTCTTCTTCTCCGTCTTCTTCTTCCCTCGCGGTTTCTACGGGAGGAAGATCGTTTGGATCCAAGATATCTCAGGTTCTCGCGTTTCCCTTTGGTTATTTTCGGGTTTAGGGATTCCGCTACCGCACCCAAACGCCTCTTTTGCCGTCGCGGTCTGCGTTTCATACAAATTATGGCAAACTGTTCAAGAAAAGTTTGATCACTCTTTAAATCATTTAGCCTAAAAAAAGATGTACATTGGTTGAAAAAATACTTTTACGAAAACCGCGTTATACAAAAGTTCTTTTTTTCACTTTGTTTATCTATTCAATTTATTGATTTAAGGACAATTCTCTAAAATAGCCATACAAAACTAAAATTTCTTTAATACTCCCTCCGTTTCACAAAGAGTGTTGTTCTGACACTTTTTTTTTTCAAAAAGAATGTCGTTTTAGAATTCCAATGTAATTTTTAACATAAAATACCATTTTTAACTTCAATAAATTCAGAAAATTAATTTTAAATATAATGCCAAAAGTCATTTTCTGTAAATTAATAAGAGTATAAGAGATCTTTTATCTTATTTCTTAATTTCTTATTTTTTAATTTATGCGAAGAATGTAACAACACGAGAGATATAATCTTTTAAGGAGACAACAAACAGGCCTTTTTTTATTTTATCCTTCAAACTGTCGCAAAAACCTTCTTCTCTCCAATAATAAAATAATCACGAAAAAATTTATTAGCAACTCCCTTATCAGCAAAACTTTCTCCGAGGACAGTGTCTAAGGATTTCTCCGAGGACGGTGTTTGAAGATTTCTTCGAGGATGGTGTTTCCTAGGAGGAGCAAATTTGGAGCTTGGGGATTTCGTGGTGGTTTTGTTTTGGATGAGCTCGATCTGTGAAGATCTCCTGGTTTTTTTTCGAAGTAGTAGTAGATTTTGTTGAATTTGAGGATTTGGTTCAAGAATTGAGCTTCTTGAGCTTTATGCTGCTCTTGGTTTTGTTAGAAGAAGATTTGGTGGAGTTAAGTTTGGATGACGTACCCATGGAAGTCTTAACGAGTTCCATGGTTTCAAAGGAGTATCTCTATATATAGTATATCCCTATTAACAATCTTTATATATCCCTTTATCGTGTAGAGACTGTAAACAGAAATAGTTCTTATTCACATATATAGATATAATTCTTTGCTGAATATCTTTTATGCAACTCAGAATATTTTGTACTGGCTATCCCTGTTTAAGTTGAGTTTATGAGTGGCTTCGTATAAATATGCTTTTGGTGAAGATGGTTTTTCTCCTCCATTTATTATTATTGAGGAATCTTTAATGTTGTGTTACAGACGAGTCTTTTTGTTCTCTTGACATTGAATACAGTGGTGATGTGGTCTGTAGTATGGTTGCATCTCCTGAATTTTACTTGTGGTTTCTTTTCTGACAGAGCTTCAACACTTGAGGAACAGTCTACCTGATCAAGTTGTGGTCTAGAGAATCGAGGAATGACTGTCTGCTCTTGGAAATTCCATTGCCTGCAATGTCCATGTTGCTCTTCCTCACACCTTTCTGCGGGTATGACTGTTAATGACTGGACAGCATCCTGCAGTTCAGACACAACCGGAACAGAGCTCTCTGTTATAGACAATATCTTCAAGCGAAGAGAAGCCCAACCCAGCTCTATTGTCGATGAGATGAGGAAGTCTTTGATCGATACCTATGTAAAATTTTGCTTGATTGGATGAAAAACACACAACAGTATATATCCCCAAGCGTCAATGTTAAAAAATTTCATAGCTACTGTGGTCTTTATAGGCTCTCAATATCTCTTTATTGTTGCAAGAATTAGTTTCTTTTTACTCGTGTTTTAACAGATTAGTTTCTTTATATTAAGTAAGGTTCTCCTAAAAAATTTGAATTGACTTCTTAAATTTGAGTTGTTGTATAAATAGGCACAAAAGACTTGATTATGAAGAAGATATTGAACTTTTTCTAAATATTTATAAATGCTTCTGAAGCTTTCTTGACTTTTTTCAAGAATGATTTTTACAAATTTAGAAATGTTTTCCTGAAACTTATACGGTTTAGGATAATCTTTCTAAATGTGTAAGACACCTTACTATTTTTTTTGTTTTTTTTTGTTTTTTTGTCGACAGCCTTGATACAGAAAATTTGCTTTTCCAGACCTGATTTTTCTGTAAATGTTAAATTTATGCCTAAACAATTTTTCTGGCCTAAACATACTTATACGTTCAAACAATTTGAAATTCAACCTTAATGTATGGTTTTTGTGCGTAAAACTACTTCCGTCCAATAGGTGTTAAATCGCCGTCAAACGATTAATATGTGGAATCTAGTTAAGCTACGACGTCGTTTTATGCAGTAGAAGTCGCAAAAAATTAACGACAAAATAACATCGTCTAGCTTCTGGGCCTTAGCAGATCACAAAAATGGGCCTAACATCTATAGTAAAACTACATTGTACTGGTTATACACAACTTGAACTTGAAGCCGCGACTCGACGATTCAGTTGATTTATTCCATTGTCTTCTTCATCGAACAGAGTAGGAAAAAAACCGATCTCAAGTTTGTAAACCCTAAAAGTGAATTTGCTGTTCAAGTGGTGTTTGTGTTTGGTTATCATCCAGTTCGGCGTTGCAAACATAAGGTACACGATTATCTACTATTTTTTCATTCTAACTTTGTAGAGATTAGGATAAAAATTTTGATTGGTTATGCTTTCCATTCATGGATTTGATAAGATCGGTTTATGGTGAACAAATAAGCTAACTTATGTGTACTAAACGCTATATAACTCCATGGTCTAGGGTTATATAAAATGTATAACTCTGATATTTCTTTTTCTTTTGTTGTTGTTTTTAGTTCGGAAGATGCAGCGTTTCAAGTGTATTACAATGGGAAGTTCGAGATTTCACTGCAAAACAGTACGAAATACGTTGGAGGGGAGGTTGAATCGCTTGGATGCCCACCGAGAGACTTCTTTGTTAAGATTGGGGATAGCCTAAACATTTCTGTTCGAACAAAGGATCTGGTACAAGCTTCCATTTGAGGAGTTGTCGGATCTCAAGTTGCTTTGCAATGGAACTAGGAATTTTAAAAGCATGTGTGGCGCTGTGTTCTGGACCAAAGCTGCAGATGTTTACATAGAGCGTGATACCAACCATTAGCAAACCACAAACCAGGTTTTTCAAATCCTTAAATCGACACTCAGTGAAAAGGAAAGTCGAAAGCTTGAAGACGACGACGAGGAAAAAAAAAAACACCACGAAACTAAGTCGTTTTGTTAAAATTTAAATCCCACGACTTAGAGAGTAAAACGATGTCGTAACTTACGTGTACTATACGTAGACAACGTTTCACGGCAACTTAACAGCGTTTCTCCAAAAGTAGTTTTACGCACAAAAACCATACATTAGGGTTGAATTTCAAATTGTTTAAACGTATAAGTATGATTAGGCTAGAAAAATTTTTTAGGCATAAATTTAACATTTACATAAAGATCAGGTCTGAACAAGCCAATTTTCCGCCTTGATACTTAGAACGGTTCAGTAACTCAAACCAGTAGTACCAAGTTTACATATATAACATCCTGAAGGTAAGTACGCACATTGTGTGCTTTTTTGTATTTTTATCTTAGGTTCAATTGGTGTTAAAAATAGAATGTTTGAATGTTTTGAAAGGTGTAAGCTTTATAGATTCAATTCAAACATCATGGAGTCAATTTTCTTAAGAAGATTACTCTACTTCTTCATAAATAGTATATCTAAACTCATTTGCACAAATTGTTGTAGATACATTAACAAGTAATTTTAGGATTTTCTTGACTTCTAAGGAAGAATTTTTACAAATTTAGGAATGTCCTCCTGAAAACTTATACGGTTTAGGATAGTCTTCTTAAATGTGTAAGATGCCTTATTAAATTTTTTGTATTTTTATCTTTTGTTCAATTAGTATTAAAATTGAATGTTTGAATGTTTTGCAAAGTATGAGCGTTATAGATTCAATTCAAACACCATGGAGCCAATTTTCTTAGGAATATTACTTAACTTCTTCAAAAACAGTATTTGATTTAAACTCATTACACAAATTGTTGTAGATACAATAACAAGTAATTTTATGAATTTTTGACTTTTCAGGAATAAATTTTACGAATATATGCCCTCTTGAAACTTATACGGTGTGTGATAATCTTCTTAAATGTGTCAGATGTCTTACTAATTTTTTGTATTTTTATCTTAGGTTCAATTAGTGTTAAAATTAAGTGTTTAAATGTTTTGCAAGGTGTGAGCTTTATAAATTCAATTCAAGTAAGTCTAAAGTCTTATCTTCATTCATACATTGTCCTTATTTCTCGATGAAACTTCACTTTTTTTCTTTTTTTTGTTGCTCATTACTACCTGAAATAAGTCTGCAACAGTATCGTCAGGTTCCGTCATTAGCTCAGACCCAAACTCTTGTGCAGCCTGCGTCATAACAAAGCCCCACAAGCCTTCATCAATGCAAATAGAAAGACATCTTAAAGGAACACAAAACATACAACTAAAAGCTATATATCTCAAAAGAATATGAACCATAGCAATTACAGTAAGTTTCATAGAAAATATAGAGCTAATAATATCACTCAAATAATTGAATACGAGTATCACATGTGATCGGTCAATGGAAAGAGAGTAAGTTACATAACAATAGGTTAAGCTTTACAACAAAATTACTGTTTCACGGTGAACTATTTTACAAGCAAATGAAATGCTTTGTTCTTGGTCTTCTACTTTATAAAACAATCTTATACTCACTCTATTTCAAATCTTTCTTTAGAAGGTTATCCTAAATCTGTAAGAATACTTCATAAAAAATCAGTAAGTCTCAAAACCTGGTTATAAGTTAGAGACAAATCTGGAAAACTCTGGAAAGGATTCATAAACTTTTCAAGAATCCTTGAAGAAAACATTCATCAAATTTTGGTACAGGTTCTTATACAGTAATGGCTTCCTAAATATTTGTAAAAATCGTCCATTAAGACTTAAAACTGTATTGAGGAAGAGATACTTTAGCAGTGGAAGAAACACTTTTGGAGATCTGTCTCCTGCACAAAGATCTAATCCTAATGCCGGTTTAACCAGCGTCTGGCTGATACGTTCCTTCTTTAGATCTTCACTCTAAGCACTAGATCTCACGGTTTGGGTAAAGACTTGGGTATGAACTTTGAATAGAAACTGAGGGAATGATAGGTCACACAAAGGATGCGGAAGGCCTTTGATATACCAGGGTGATTCGATGGATATGACACACCAAAGAATCGGGTTGCTTGAAAGATATAACACACTCACAAGCTAAGATGTTCAAGAGAACAAATGATCTAACTTAGAAAGAGTTTTTGATAGAAAAGATAGATGAGTTTAACAAAGAGCGTACAAGGGTTTAAAAAGAAAGAGAACAAGTCTGTGACAGCCAAGACTTGTCTCGGAAATAACTAATACAATAAAGACTAAGTTTGAATAAGGAAGAAACAAGAAAGAAACTCTTTTTCTCCAGGCCGAGTCTTCTAGTGTTGGGCCTCTGTTGGATCAGCGAATGAGGGATATGATGTGAGCCGTTTGTTTCATTAAAAACCTCCCTTTGAAAAACCCATTGGGACAAATCCAAAGGAGCCCATTCACTGATCATCTTGAGCCTGTATAGAAACCAATGCGGCTTGTATAGCAACTTCTCCTTCCTGGCTCAAGACATTAGCTCATCTCTAACTGGTTCTAAGCATAGCTCCGATAGCTTCCTTAAGTTTCTTGCTCCTTGATCGAGTTATTGGACCGGCTGGCATCTCCAAAGCTTCTTCTATATCCGGTTCTTCTTGTTCTTCTAGTCCAGCTTCTTTAGCTCCAAGTTCCAAGTCCTATAGGCTGTACATGATCGCATCATCCCCCTCCTCTTGAAAAAGATTTGACCTCAAATCTGGTTTATCTGCCACAAAAGGAACAAGATCAGAAACATTAAAACTAGAACTGATATTGTACTTACCTCGGAGATCAAGCTGATAAGCGTTATTGTTGATTCTTCTTGTTATTGTGAAAGGTCCATCAATTCTTGGCATTAGTTTGGATTTCCTTTCTGCTGGAAATCGTTCTTTCCTCAAATGAACCCAAACTTGCTCGCCAACTTCGAAAATCATTTCTTGCCGGCTCTTATTTGCTTTCTTGGCATAGAGCTTGGTCTTCTCTTCTATGTTAAGTTTGGCCTTCTCATGAATCTGTTTAACAAGTTCTGCTTTCTTCTTTCCATCGAGACTAGTTCTTTCACTCAAAGGAAGAGGGGTTAGATCCAAAGGAGATAAAGGACTAAAACCATAGACAATTTGAAATGGAGAAAACCTAGAAGTAGAATGCACCGAATGATTATATGCAAATTCTACATGCGGCAAGCAATCTTCCCAACTTTTAAGATTTTTTTTGACCAGAACACGCAACAAGGTTGATAAGGTCCTATTAACTACTTCAGTCTACCCATCAGTATGTGGATGACAAGTAGTAGAAAACAGAAGCTTAGTACCTAACTTAGATGATGTGTCGTGTGGTGAGGGTGTCAAGTTTTACCTTAAATGAAATCAATAGCTGCAAGTGCACAGCTGATCAATTGTAGTACTTAGGGATCAAATCCACAGGGAAGGAGGATCTTTCCTGCAAAAGCCTTTGAAAGAAATATAAAGTAAGGAAGTCTAGAACCAGGCGAGTTTTGTGAGGGTTTTGGTGGTGTGTTTAAAACGTAAAAACAAATCTTAAAGAGAAAATACGGTAATTAAAATGACCTAATAAC